AAAAAAAAAAAAAAAGAATATTTCCATGCACGGGGTGCCTGGGTGGCTCAGTCGTTAAGCGTCTGCCTTCAGCTCAGGTCACGATCCCCGGGTCCTGGGATCGAGCCCCGCATCGGGCTCCCTACTCGGCAGGAAGCCTGCTTCTCCCTCTCCTGTTCCCCCTGCTTGTGTTCCCTCTCTCGCTGTGTCTCTCTCCATCTAATAAATAAATAAAATCTAAAAAAAAAGAATATTTCCATCCACTAATCCCTCATTTAACTTTTTTTATATACTTTTGAGCCGTCTTAAACACAAGTTTTTAAAAATTTAATATTGATATGTGGTTAAGATTTTATTCATGTTATAGAAGATTACCTTTAGAACAGGAAAATAAGATTGGGGTTGTTTATCACAAATAATGTAAATATGTTAAATATCTGCCAAATTAGGAGCACCAAACTTTCCACAAATTAGTTACCAAGTATTAGTGCAACCTTCTATAGAACCTACACACACATACACAGCAACTGCAAAAATGCAATCAAAAGCCTTGGTAACAGTCCTCAATGAAGCTCTGCCTTTTCTTTAGACTCAACAATAACAAGAGAAATGATCACTTTTAAAGGGATCTGATCTAAGTACATAATTGTGATGTTACCTGATACTTGAATAGGACAGCCTGATACTAAAAAAAAAAATTTTTTTTAAGTGGGCTCTACACCCAACATGGTGCTTCCAACCCCGAAATCAAGAGTCATATGCTCCACCAGGGACAGTCTGATATTCTTCTGATGGTGTTAAGTTCAGAAAGACCTAACCTAACTGGTTAGAAAATTTTTTTGCTGACACTTTCTGTTCTTTCCTTCACCTACCGGGGCTTTCACTTGCCTGATATATCACTCCAGAATGCATCTGAACCTGATTATCATAGGCTTTCAGACTTAAAATGAGAGCATTTTGTAAATGATTCTCATGCTTTGACTCCGTGTTGTTTTTTTACCCATAGTACATATCCTACCCTAATGTAATTCAAGCAAAAGTTGGTAATTTAAATTTTTCTGTGGTACAGTAAAACCTGGGTTACTGCTGCTCAAAGCAGCCTCAGGTGAAAGCACTTGCTAAGGGTTTTATTCTCTATATGGCAACTTTTGTAGCTGGTGTTCTTGTTCATTGCAACTGTAGCTCCAGAAAACTCCCCTCCCCACCATTTCCCATTAGCACCTCAGACTTTGGCCTCCAATGAACAGGAGTTTAGAAATCCCATGAGGGAGTTCAGAGATAGGTACCACTGTCAGGTAGTGGCACTCCTCCCACCTTACTGTCCATGCTCCCACAATTTTGTTTTCTTATACAAAGTCTATATAGCATTAGTGTTTTCCAACTAACCTGAAAATCCTTCTATGTGAATTTAAGAGAGAGTAGAAAAAAATACTGTAAAACCAATACATTAATTTGTGACCTGACTTAATCTCATATAAAGTATATCATAAAGTGAATGCAAAAAATGTTTCATTCATAGTCGTAGTACCTTTTTATAAAGGCCTGGTCTAAGATAACCCTATCACTTCTAAAATTAGTGATTATTCAAACAAGTCTTAACAAAACTGTTCTTTACACATTTTGTCATTTTACCATGTCATATAAGATTTATGTTGTGTTCATCACATCCCCCCAAATGAGAAGAGTTCAATTACAAGTAACTGTCTTTGGAATATTTTACTTTAATTACAACCCCCCCAACCCATTCCTAAAATCAAATAATTCCAAAGAAAATATGAAAGGAAACAGTTTGAGAGAAAGATTTATAAAAAAGAACAGACACTATACATTGCTTTATAATCACAAGGAAGAGGGCCAGGATATCTGAGAGGTGTACACAAAATTACCTAAATGATTAAATGCAAAACAGAACTGTCAAAACAACTGAAATAGATCGCTCTTAAATACTCTTAAAATATATGCACTGTTACATGTATGGAATATTTTAACTAAAGCAGAGAAGATAACTCAATCTTTCTCTTTCAAAATTAAAACAGAATAAGAAAGTGTGTGTATGTGGGGGGGACCCACAACCCATTCTATTTGAATTATTCCAAACACAGTACTGACTGAGCACTGTTTCAAGTTAATGATGTATTTATAGTACCGTTTATAGCCTATTCTTTACAGAACAAAAATCCATTTACAGGTGATTAAAATAAATTATGATTTATTAATACAAAGAAAATATTATGTAACCATTAAAAATTAAGTAATCTAAATGTACTTAAAAAATAAAAAACTGTGCAAGGGATAAAATGTGTTGGGGAGGGGATGCCAAGCTTCAATCATCTACGTTACGTACGTTCACATTTGTTTAAAATCGGTATCTATAAAATGACTGTATATGCATAGAAATTATCTTGATGATACCCAAGAAACTTAGCAGTGGTTACTGCTCTTGGAGAACAGATTGGGGAAGGAAAGGTCACATCCAGGAGTGACTCTCACTTTTTGTCTCCATCTTTCTTCATGCTGTTCCAATTTTGTACATGAGCCTGTATTAACTTATTAAAAAACGTTTTTAACAGTAAGAAGAAAAAAATCCACAGACCTCACAGTGACTCTTACCTAAGCGGCAAAGAAAGATGTTGGCTAATAAGTCTGAGTACATGTTAATAATACATTTTATGAATTATTTCTTGACTTACTAAAAATATGTAGGCCATTTCTACTGTGATCTTAAATGGCATAAAATATATGCAAATGCCTTAATGTGGCACAATAAGCTAATTTCAAACAGATTTGGTTACTTACCCTCCAACCCCACAAATAGTGAGAATTTTAGAAGCGGATCTCTTGCTGTAAAGTCACACAAACCACTTCTTCAACCCACCCTCTGCCCCACAATCAGTTCCCTAAAGCACAAACATACAAGATACTTACAATTGATTTGAATGGTTAAGAGAGAACTTAAGTCACCCTTGTTAAAACTGCACTTAAACGTTGGGACAATCTGGAACATATATCTTCCACTCATCTTAGACTCCATTATCACCAAGTGAAAATTCGCACTGGTGACTTATAGAATGATCTGACGAAAAAAATTCACCTCCAGGATTGGATGGAAGCATGAAGAAAATAATGCCTCATTTATCTAAATGATCAAATGAATTTGCTAGAAATGATCACTATACCTTTTTTTCAATTCACAAAATGTCTCACTTAGGCCAGCCCACAGTTCCAATACATTATTTCCCCAATCTTCTGGTAGGCACCCTGTGAAGCTGTCCCACATTAATTTCTACTGCAATATCCTGGGACAAGGTGTCAAAAAGTAACAAGTGTCAAGTCTCCTTGTCTTTTATGATACCAGCTGGAAAAACGTAGGTCTTTAAAAATGAGACACAACCTTTTCCTTCACTTTGAAGAGCACAGCAACAATTTTTCCAAAATCAATCTGCTCTCCACAGCCCCCCAAAATCAAAATGTTAAAAGTACAACAAAATCATCATAGTATTCCTTGAACTTAAAAAAAAAAAAAAAAACAACTATTTCAAGGCACATTTAATTTAATATCAAGAGTGCAATACAAAAGGCCCAAATACAATGAAGGAAACACATTCCCCCATTAACACCAACGACAATGCTCTTTCAACATGTGCCTGTTGAATGGAATGGGGATTTAATTTCACTACTAAAAAAAATAATGCAGTGAGTCTCATCACAGCCAATATCCTTATACAATCTAGTAGTGAAATGAATGTTTATAATGCTTCAAACATTTTCAACCTGAAGTTTGATACCACACCTTTTTGTTTGTACAGTCCTCAATAAGATTATCTACAGCATTAGCAACCATTCAAAGAACAAACCATTGATTAAAACCACATTGATTTAAGGCTCAATCAAGTAATATAGAGCCCCAAACTAAATGGTTAAATATATGAACTACTTGTACTGACATCTATTATTTGATTCTCTCGTGACTATTATTAAATTGGTTCTTAGCAAATAAACTCTTTAAAGGCAAAATTCACCTCATTTGAGTTTTGACCCAGAAGTTCAACAACAATCACGAAGTCCACAGTCTTATTGGCAAAACTGATATACAGTGTCTCTAAGTCACTATGCTCAAGGTTAAGAGCGATGCATATTCCATTTTTACATTTTACTGGAATTTTACATGTTCAATTCATGATTTTAAATCTCTAGGTTTTCATTCCTCCAAACTGTCTGAAGACACAGTGTGCCACAGACTTAAAACTTCTGTTTCTCCCTCTATTTTCTTCAAACAGAAACATTTCTCAAGTGTCTACATGTTCTAGAAGGGGAATTTTTCGGAGGTGGCCACTTCTTCGGAATAGTCCGACGCCATCAGGCCTCTGAAGCAAGGGGAGGGGGAAGAGAAAAAAGCTGAAACACAAGGTTCATCTGGTAAGTTTTACATTAACCATTACAAGCTGGATAGTATAAGAATGTGGCTTTTTTTGGCTCAAAAAGTCTGAGTCTTGGTGTGGAAACGAGTACTTGGCTGTCCCACCACAGCTTTCTCGTAGTGGGACTGTCAGGGAAGTCTTGACTGGGGAGTATGATTTGTTTACCTATCAGGCGTAAACTTCCAGGCACTCAGTTCATTTTGGGCTTGTTCCAGTTTGTCTTTAGTCTGTTCCAGTTCACCTTTCATTTTTAGGAAAAACAAGTTGATCGCTGGGTCTACCATTGTTGATCTCAGTTGGGCAACGCTAGGCTGCTGGACTTGCTTGAGGTACTGGATTTGAGTCTGTACAAAGCAAAAAAACCAATTACTACCAAATCAAAGAAAAATATATACATAGGAAAGTGAGACAAAATCCCTTTCGTTCACAGAATTTACCAACTTGTTAAGTCCTTCCCCCTTTGATCTTAATATCCTCTAAGAAAAGTACAATTATAAACAACTATTTAAGGTTAGCCATGTAGGAATTAAGGCTATGATTGCATTTCCATATCTGGAAAGGCTACATCCTACTCTGAAACCAAAATGATACCAAAAAAAAAAAAAAAATCACTGTTGTATTTCCTAAAAATGTTGACACCCACTAGAAAAAAGCCATGTGTAAAATATTATATAAGAGTACGGTGAGGGGCGCCTCGGTGGCGCAGTCTGTTAAGCGTCTGACTCTCTTAGTTTCGGCTCAGGGTCATGATCTCAGGGTGATGAGATCAGGCCCCACTGAAGTTTCTCTCTCCCTCTCCCTCTGCCCTGCCCCACTGTGCACTTGTGCTCAGCTCAAATAAATAAATATTAAAAAAAAAAAAAAAGAAAAAAGTACAGTGGTTTACTCTTTCCAAATTTGTATCTATAGAAATTATTCTATGTATGTCTCCTAAAAAATACACCTAGTAAAAAATTGGAACTTAAAATACATATTTGTATTTCCAAATTTAAAAATATATAATGCTTATATTTACATGAGTTGTCATTACAGCATTATAAATAGCACCTTAAGTCAATATATTCAATTTTTCCTTCTGAGTAGATCTGAATCACAGAATTGTATAGGTGGAATGTGCCTGACCAAATCCAAACTGCTTATTTTTGAAATTAAATAAGCTAACTATCCAAGGATACAGTTAGTTCAGTGCCAGAATTGAGACTAGAGAACAGTTCTCAAGCCTCCTCACTCCCAACGTAGGGCTTTTTCCACCACACCAGAACCCCTCTACTTACATATGAAACCTTCAATTTCGACTTCAGTTGTACTACTTACTAGCACACTAAAAATACATTTCTAAAATACGAAATACAGTTTATTAGCATTAAATGCATCACTTTCTTCACACCCAAAGTAGATTTGGTTCAAGATCCTGCTGCACACTAAGGCTTAAACAGGATCAAAGTTAACAATTTACAAACTGCTAATTTCTACCATAAATTTAGTAAAAAATACAAATATCTGGATTGGGAATATATTTACTATTTCATTTAGCTTAATGAGATTTTTTAAAGTAACTCATTTTAAACAGAAAAGTACAACTGTTTATTCAATATAAGACGAATTGCTAAAATAATTGAACAGGAATAAAGCGTATCATATAGTATATACACCACGGCCTGGGATCCCTAAAGAAAACATGCCTCTCCAATACTGACATAGTTACTATTTAGGTTTACAAAGTGAACTGCCCTCATCTGCACATATAATCTTGCCCGTTCCTTATGTTTTTGCTCCTGCCGCCCTTTCTGCAAAACCTTACTCTGTATCTAACTGAAAATAGTTGTTCAGTTGACCTGTGCAGGGGAGAGCTGTAAAAAATATGACTAGAAATGGGTAGGTTCTAGTTCAAATAGCCTTAAAAACCTGGGATGAGAAGACAAAAGGGTGATGGAGCATCACCAAAGGCTCTGATCAGGCATGATATGATCAAAACTGCCAGAGTATATATAAAATAGCTGGAAGTGAGTCAAGAGCATATATTGTCTAGGTAAGTGTTAAGAAGTATAAGAACTACATGTTGTATGAAAGGAACACTCCCCTTGACAAGGATGGAACAGGCCCTCAGTCCTGACAACACACATATGGTTAAGGCATCACCATCCACTGCGTGGCATCTAACCATTGTTTAAAAAAAAAGTACGTAACTAGGATGGCAACGATAGGACCCAAGAAGAAAGAATTCAAGACACACTGATGCTATGCGATAATACTATTGACATGATCCATTCACACTCTACCAGAGGTTAGCACTTTGAAGGTAAGATTCATCCTTTTCATGTGATAAGCATGTAGCAGAGTGCCATACAAACAGAGACCTAAAACTAGGTAGAATCTAGAATCCTTAATACCAGAAAAAGTAGAAAAGAATTAAAAAGTTTTGAAACTCGGTACTCTAGAGACATAGTACCCACTCCATTAGATCTGAAAATCTAAGAGGAAAAAAAAATTTTTTTTTGAAGGGATGGAGTGGGTGTTACAAATAAAGAAAAGAAAATTATATTCAAACTACTGGGCAAGACTTCCTGGAACCATGTGTCCACATAAAAAAAATAACCAAAGATTGGGATGGTCAAGAGTTTAAATTACAGAAACTAAAGGTGTGTGATTATTGAGAAAATAAATTTTAAGAAATAAAAGGACTGTGACTGAGCCCTAAAAGAACACTATATTGGTAAGAAAAGAATTAGGAATAGGACTGTGCCCCATATATTATCAGAGTCTCCAATGATCAGAATATTGCCTTCTGCATTAGATTTAATAAACAGTGTTATCAGACCAATGGAGATTACACAAAAGAATTCAAGCAAATTTCAGATTTTTGGGGCGCCTGGCTGGCTTAGTCAGAAGAGCATGCAATTCGGCCACCTGGGTGGCTCAGTCGGTTAAGCATCTGCCTTTGGCTCAGGCCATGATCCCAGGATACTGGGATCGAGTCCCACATCAGGCTCCCTGCTCAGGAGAGTCAGTTCTCCCTCTACCTCTACCCCCTGCTTATGATCTCTCTCTCTCAAATAAATAAAATCTTAAAAAAAAAAAAAAAATGCAATTCAATTTTAGGGATGGGAGTTTGAGCCCTACATTGGGTGTAGAGATTAAATAATTTTTTAAAAAATTTCAGATTTTCAAAATTAGAAAAACATGGATAAAACTACCTCTACGTTACATAACATATATACAAACACTAATAAAAAGAATTGGGTAAGACTACTGAAGATAGCATATAACTGAACTTAAATTCAACCAGAGGTGAATGATCAAATATGTCACTGGATTTCAGATCTATGTAAAAATGGCAAATATTACAAATGAAGCTGTAACATTAAAAGCAGATATGGAAGAGGCTACTGATACTAACAAAAAAGTTTTATACACAGAGAGGTAAAGAGAGCAGAGGATAAAGGGACAGTTTGCTTACCAAGAGCAAATGCTTCTTATGCCCTCAGATATCAAGAAAAATATCTGAATCAATATACTGATTCTCGTATGAAATTTCAGAGAATAACTTAAAACTTTTAACTTCTTGGCCAAAAAAAATATTTTTATAATCCAACAATGGGGTGATCTACCAAAATTTCAGCATTTTATAGCTCAAAGCCTACCTAAACAAAATGTTCATTTGTAATTACTATTAAGTTTGTAAAATTAGCTAACTACCAATACACGTAATAATGCAGACTAAAAACCAATTCCTCAAAAGACCTAAAACATTTGAAATACTTACAGTACACTCTTGCATCTCTTGCTCCTTGGTTGCTAGTCGCATTACAAGGATGTTTTCCCTGCGAGCAGACTCTTGCTGTTGTTGCTTTAGTTTTTCTTCAGACTCCCTTAACCCAGTTACATCATTAGCTGATGAATAAAAGAAAAGAATTCCATTATGAATTATGAAATATAATTTCAAGATCAAAATGACCTACCCAAAATAAAGTTCTGATTGCCTTTGTCAAGAATAAAAGCAGGGGCAAAAAAATTCATCAAGTCTTTAGTTTCTATCCTACTTTTATAACAATCTGTTATAAAATTTGTTCTTGATCATGAGTGCTCTTTTAAGAGATAGCGGTGTTAGAGTGGCCTACAGCCACCTAATACTACGTAGAATTATGTTGCTATTGTACAATCTACCTCCAATAGAACATGGGGAACATCGTTATCTTCATCTATAGCGTGTCCACAACGTCCTGACTATATTGTTTTCAACCTATCCGATGAAAACATGCCAGTAACTGCATAAACAATTATCACTTAAAGCTCTCACAATATTGGGGCACCTAGGTGGCTCAGTCAGTTGAGCATCTGACTCTTGGTTTCGGCTCAGGTCATGATCTCAGGGTTGTGAGACTGAGCCCCACATGGGGTTCAGAGCTCTGGGCGGAGTCTGCTTGAGATTGTCTCCTTCTCCCTCTGTCCCCCCCGCCCCCCGCTCGCACACATGCACGTGCAAACTCTCTAAAATCAATAAAATCTTAAAAAAAAAAAAAAAGCTTTCAGGGCACCTGGGTGGATCAGTTGGTTAACTGTCTGCCATCAGCTCAGGTCATGATCCCAGGGTCCTGGGATCAGGCCCTACTTCGGGCTCCCTGCTCAGTGGGGAAGCCTGCTTCTCCCTCTCCCTCTGCTGCTCCCCCTGCTTGTGCTTGCTCTCTCCCTCCCTGTCTCTCTCTGTCAAATAAAGAAAATCGTAAAAAAAAAAAAAAAAAAAAAAGCTTTCACAATACTAATGTCTATGGATTATAATATAGTCATATAGTAATTGAAATTTCAGGGTATTAAGCTTTCTGAACTTGGAAAACAATATTGCTTTGTACACTCACAAATAGTATGTTACTCCTAACTCAGTGAAAAGTGACAAAAACTAAAATGGTTTGAAATTAATAAACTTTGTTGGTATTATTTTTCAGTTTTGAAAAATCTGTAAATATGTACCTATACCCTGTTATTACACATTAAGCTCTCAGAATTTATGTGTTGCTTCTCTGTACTTCCTTTCTAAAACCAGTAACTCAAGCTTCACTTCCAATTCTTCTGTGGAAGGAATTATGGACACATCAAGGAAAGTTTCAAGTAGTTATATATTTCCCCATCTCTACTCAGACACCTGTATGTAATTCTACTAAAACAATCATGCTATTATACGATTATTACATATCGGATCTTCCCCAAATGACTGGGTAGGAATTCCTCAAGAAGAGGGACCATGGCTCATTCATCTATTTTGTAGCAGCAATATAGTGAATGCTTGGGAGAGTTCTTTAAACAAAATGCTTGAATGAAAATTACAATTGCTTAGGGGCACCTGGCTGGCTTAGTTGGAAGAGCGTGCAACTCTTGATCTCAGGATCATGAGTTTGAGCCCCACACTGGTGTAGAGATTACTTAAATAAATAAAAACATAAAAAAAATTACAATTGCTTAGTAAAACCAATTATCCTGGGTCTATAACAAAAATCTAAAAGGAGATAGTCACATAACTTTTAGGAAGCTAAAATTCAAACTTACAATTAAGATCTGTGTATTTGCCCTCCAAAGCTTGGACATATGCTTCATACTGTTTCCATCTAGTACAAAAATAAATTCATATATTAGTTGTCACATTGATACTTTTATTAAAAATACTAGAAAATCACATACATAAACTTACAAATTTAAGTAATGTGAAGAATTTCATTACATGATTTTTAACCAATAATAAAATTAGCCACTTCATTATTCCTTCTGAACTTACAGAAACTACGTAAAATAAAATACAGAAAAAAAGTGTTCTCTGCCGAGAATATACCAAGTATGCTCCTTTGGGGGTCAGTTCATATGCCTTATGGGACTTTGTATCACTGAGGCTCAGCACAATGCCTAGATTACAAAACTAAGTAAAAAACTTATTACTACTTTCAGATATGCTATCTGCCTCAAACAAATGGAACCTAAGAAACGTGCCTAATTATAAAGAACTAAAGGTTCTTTATCTTGGCTCTTTTGTGAAAATACCATAAAGCCAAACCAGTGGTTCAAAGTAGTATTTATTTTTGTCTGTAAAAATGGGAGAATATACTATTTTCCAGGACTATTCTTTAAACCACACCTACCTGGCAGAAACAATCTGCATAAATGACATATACTATCAGAGTATGAAGGAACCTTTCTTCCTTGTTATATTCCTCTACCCTCAAAATACAGGCTATGCTAGCTTGGCAATTACAGTTGAAAACAATGTCCCTAGTCTTACGTTTAAGCAACTAACAAAAAGTAACATGCCCTGAAAGTCTGCTATCCTGCTTACTGAAGAGCTATGCTTTTAAGCTGCTCTTCAGTTACAGCTAATCAAAATTTACAGTTGATCCTTGACCAATGTAGGGTGGGGGTTTAGATGTGACAAACCCTGCATAGTCAAAAATCCGTGTATAACTTTTGACTCCCCAAAAAGCTTAACTACTAATAGCCTACTGTTGACCAGAAGGAAACCTTACTGATAAATATAAACACTTAAATTACACATATTTTGTGTTTGTATTATACACTACATTCTTACAATAAAGCTAGAAAAAGGAAACATTAAAAAAAAAAGAAAAGAAAATACACTTGGAAGTACTATACTGTACAAGATCTGAACGTTAAATGGACCCCCACAGTTCAAACCTGTTTGAAGGGTCAACGTACCTTTGATTTTAGAAAATCTTTCTATAAAACCTCAGTAACTTTGACAGGTTTGCTATGAGATATATTAATACTACAACATAATGAAAAAAAATTTCCGTAATACCAAGCTTTAGACTACTGTTCAAAGGCATGCTTATTTTTCTTTTAAGATTTTTATTCATTTATCTGAGAGACCATGAGCAGGGGGAAAGGGTAGAAGGAGAAGCAGTCTCCCCACTGAGGAGGAAGGCCGAGGTGGGACTCGATCCCAGGACCCTGGGATCATGACCTGAGCCGAAGGCAGATGCTTAACCGGCTGAGCCACCCAGGTGTCCCTCAACCAAGAGCATCCTTTCAAGATGACAGATAACACAGAATAGTTAGATAAGTAGCACTTGATTTAAAATCACCAAGAAAATTAACGAGGGGTAAAAACTCACTTAAAAGTCATATATGAGGGCGCCTGGGTGGCTCAGTTGGTTAAGCAACTGCCTTTGGCTCAGGTCATGATCCTGGATTCCCAGGATCGAGTCCCACATCAGGCTCCCTGCTCAGCAGGGTGTCTGCTTCTCCCTCTGACCCTCCCCCCTCTTGTGCTCTCTCTCTCTCAAATAAAAAATCTTTTAAAAAAAAAAAAGTCACATATGAGAATTCCCTAAAAGAAGTTAAAGAATATAAACTGCAGGACTTAAAAACCTTAAAGGTAACTTAATATAAAAAACTGCTACTATGAATTTTTATTAAAATTATATTATTGATTTCTCTCCCTACAAATAAATGAAGAAAAAGACTACACATACTAACCAGAGATACAAAGAGAATATCAACACGTGAGTGGCAGTATATCACAAGCAAGGGTCTACACCTCAGCAGGAGAGGACAAGAGTGTTTTAGAATACTAAGAATTTAAATTTCATGTATGGGAAAATAAATGTATGCAATGAAAAAAGTCCTTTGCATGAAGACGATAAAGAGCTTGTCCACAATATGAGTAGCTAAGGAAGGTGGGAAATTATCAGACTCTAGTTAACAATGGAACATGTCATCTACACCTGCCTATTTTATAAAACACCTTTTCTGGGGCACCTGGGTGGTTCAGTCGGTTACGCATCTGCCTTCGGCTCAGGTCATGATCCCAGGGTCCTGGGATT